GGGAGTACTGCATATGGGGTTAGATATTGCTTCCACTGAAATCAATAAAATAACCTGCATGGATTTTAATGGTACAGCACCAAGCTCACTGAGCATTTACCAAATCTGGAACTACATATGGACAATTTTAGCAATTACACCAGGTGCAACCTGACGTACCTGGTTTCATCGAAATCCACACAGTAAAAGTGAGAGTGGAATTTGTCTAAGTATGGTGAAATTCTGTTAATTTACAATTAGGCAATCTCTCTGACATCAAAAAAGTGGCATGGGTATAAGCCAGTACATAACTTATTTTCTTGGGTTCAGAAAATAAAAATCTATCCTTTTACAGATCATACTCAGCACTTAACTGACTTCTCTTTTTTAGCCTGTGTGGGTCCATAACTACAAAGAAAACTAGGCCAAGGATCAGCACTAGCACAGGATATCGGCAATTTACACATGAGCTACTGCTGTACAAAATTAGAATGTTGTAGCATATAACATGAGAATGTAGCCACAACTGTAAAATGAAGATGTCTGCATATTGAAATATCAGGATAATTGTTTTGCACCGATACATTAGGATTTGCTGCTAGTGCCATGGTCTCCAGCAAATACCAACAAACAGATGGTCTTTTTTTCCATGCAACACTGTAGATCTCCATATCAGGCATTGTTTTTGTCTGTGTGTGCTGATCTTCTCATTAATTCCCTTTTTCTATATCTTTACTTGTCTGGCAGCATTTAGTTTTTTGATATCCAAATGCCATGGTGATAAATCTCTTTTCACAGCTTTGGATGATCAAAAGTTTGACTAAAGCCATCTTAGCAGTTAGTGTCATTAACCACATGCCATTTGACATGCATTATTGATGGCAATGGGAAAGCCATGAATACAGACACCTGTGCTAGGTCTCACACTTTGCCTCGCTTCATCATTGTTTTACTTTCTTTCAACTGTGTGGCAATACCGGCAGTGACATTTCATTCTACTTTCAATATGGGCGAACAATAGCAATACTGACGTCGCTTTCTTACTAATACATCTTAAGTGAAATAAGGCAGCTTGCTTTATCACAGAATCCTAAAAATATTTGGTCAAATTCTGAAGGAAATCTCTTTAATTACATAAAAACTATGTTTGCGGAAGTGCTCTAGATCAATGGGAACTAACCTTTTTGGCAAGTGTGCCACAAATAAGTTTCCAACCGTCTGAGTACCACTCCAGTCTCCTTCCTCTGCTGCTCTGCGTCCTGCCCTGTGATCCTGGACCAATCTGATGCTCTGCTTTCTGCCCTGACCTACTCCACTGCTTCCTGCACTGTCCATAGCTGTGCTGCCTGCCCCCTACTCGATCTGTCACACACAAGGGCTACCCGTGCCACTTGTGGCAGGTTGGCCACCCCTGCTGTAGAGGAACCCTAAGTCTTCCTGAAGAAAATTAAGACTCTTACTGCGCTGGTACTTAAATTAGTAAATATTTCATACATTTCCCCAACTTAAAAAATGTAGCTCATAAAAGAAGTATAAAATAAAATAGCCCAAAATTTATTTTATAAAATAAAATAAATATATCCCAAAAATGAAAGTTCATTAGTATATTTTTCAGTCATTGGAATACTGATTTTAACTTTGAATTTTTAAAAAATCACTACTTAATAGTAGCTTAATATTATTACAGATCGAAGGAAAAGTCATTCATGAACAAACATCTCAGTTGTATGTAATCAGTTATGCAAGTCTTTGACATAAAAGCTCAGAGCTTACTTCAGACAAAGTGGCCCAACAGGCTAATGTTGTTAAAAGTGCACCAGCTTCTGTAGCCAGTGGCACGTGAGCTTTGGCTGCCTTTAATACCCCCAACTCAAAGCACCAGGCACCTACTTACACACATTGAATGCTTAGCCCAGTTAACCCACAAACATGTTCAATAAGGCTAGATTTCATGCCACTAAAAATTAAATAGAGTACAGTACAACATTTCCTAAAGTGGAAGTTAGCCAGAGCCACCCATTTAAAAAACACCACTCTTACAAATAATATCAAGAAATTTTTAGGGATAGCAAGTAGGTGTATCCTTAACTTTAGATCCCAGCCAAAGGAGAAGCTTCCAAAGGAAGCGTACATCCTAACAGAATCTGACTTATTAGTTCACTCCTTATTCAGGAAAAAGAGTACTACTTACTGAATCATGAGATACAACCTCCTACAGCACACAGGTATTCATCAGAGTTCACTTATGCAAGCACAAAATCCATCCAATTCAGTTCACCTTATGTGATGTAATATAATCTCAAAAAATGCAAGCCAGTTCAAGCCATGGTACTTTCACTGCATAATACCAAACTATGTGGGTGGCTGTTTGTCTCTTTGAGCCATCCTGCCAAAGTTTGTGATCAGCATAGACACTCAAGCTGGAATAAATGAGCAGCTGGCAGGGTGTTCTCAGTAGATGCCCCCTGACTTTATAACTCCCTCCATCCTTGATCTGAAATAGCCCACATTCAATGACCTTCATAGTACACTATGAAGCTCCTCTTTTTTCTGCATGAACCCAAAAAACAGAGATAAGTCTGAGGATAATAAAAGATAGAAAAAGAGGATTGTTTCAGTCTTTAGCTTGCCCACTCTTTCTGCAGTTCAGCCATAATGATGGGGGATTTTTCATGCTTGATTTTAAAGTTGAGTCATGGATGCTTAGATGAAAGGGTAAGTTTGCCTTTCCATTAAAATAAGTAAATACAGTGATAAATAATAATAGGTTTCATTTAGAAACAGGGATAGAAAGGTAAAATCCAGCATTTTCAGAAGGGGTCACTGATTTTGAGATGCTGCAAGTTTTGGGCCTGAAGTTCTGAAGTGCCCAACTGCTGCTAGTGCACAGCAGTTCTGAATATCAGCCCCAAAATGTCTCAGATCAGACAACCAAAAATGGAGATATCTCAAAACAGCAGCTGCTTTTGAAAATCTGCGTGAGTCATAGGTAGAGCATTACTAATACAACCCATGTCTTAGAGCAGGGGTAGCCAACCAGCTGTATGAATGCCACAAGTGGCATGATCAGCCTTGGTGTGTGGCACACAGCAGATCAGGGAGGGGACAGGCAACATAGCAGCAGATAGGACAGGAAGCAGAAAGCAGAGCAGTAGATCAGACAGGGAGTGCAGGGTGAGGAGCAGAAAGCAGAGTAGTAGATTGGGCAGGGGAAGGTGATTGGAATGGGCCTTGGGGAGGCTGCAGGCTAATTTGTGGTATGTCTGCCAAAAAGGTTTGCCCCCCACTATCAGTCATTATATGTAACAGCACCAATATATGACTGGAATTTGCTCTAATACACATATATTTCTATTCCAAAATAGTCACAGCCAAAATATTCTCTTAAGAAATAAAAATATAAACCATAAGAGGTTTTAAATTCATGTTTTATTTAAAACTATCTTTCTCTGTAAATTATGAATCAACAAAATACAACCACTGAGATTAATATCCAAAGAACAGCTGAAGCATTTAATCAGTCTCTAATGCTGTTTTATGAGCATGCTACATAATAATAGGTATTTTTTCCTAGAAAAAATACAAATTCCCTCTCCTTCCCTAAATGTCACAAGGACAAACCATAAATATTGTTGCCATGTTAATTTATTCCATCACCATGAGATACTTAATATCCATCATCCCCCATCCTCACAAACACACACAGCTACACTGTTAAAAAAATCCCACACAATGTAAAACTTATGATTTTTTGGTTTGAGACTAATTACTTAAGTATTTTTGTTTTATTTTACTTTCTATGCTCTCCAAATGATTTGACATCATTTTCAAACTCTGGAGCTCCAGAACCTCTTTTTCCTGCCAAAGCATCCACAAAACACTTTTGAGCTGCATCTCACCTAGAAGGTTCCCCAGGCCTCAGCCACTCCCAGCCTAAACAATCTTCCTCCATTCTCTGGTTGCAAAATGGACTTCAACACTGGCTCCTGAACCCCTGCTGCTTGGTTCCACAGAACAATGCAGGGAGCATGCGCTGTAATCCAATTAGCTGTTCATTGTGAAGAGCTAAGCAAAAGACAGCTGCAGGCAGGTCCTGGCAGGGCAGAGACAGCAAATAAAATATCAGGCTCCTGGCTGTAGAAAAATGGAATATTTTGCTACAAAAATGTGAATCCTGTGGCATTTTGGAAAAAGTCACAAGGCCCTAATGGAAATGAATAAAACAGTTCACACCTCACAGAGCTGTTTTAGGGACTCTGCAGACTCACTGTATGTAGATATCAGACACTGATTTTCAAGCTTATACCTGCAACCACAAAGACCAGAAACATAAATAGTTGAAACATAAAGAAAGAGACTGTGGAATGCAGTTCTGCAGCAAAGAGTAAATTCTGTGGTTATGAATAAATATGGGCCCCTGCTTGTGATGCTTTAAGGGTCCTTGCTTTTAGAATTGCCACACATTGGGGCAGGGGTAGTTTAATGCTAGAGGGAAGATGAAAATAGCTTTTCTGATTGTTAGCAGGCCTTTGAACTGAATATGGCATAGAAATGAAGATTGTTGTGACAACATATGAGTGTAATATTAATAAAAAAATCCCTATAATTTATGCATAGCTGGTCAAAGACCCATTCAATTTATATACTCTTAGCATCATTTATAATTCTCATAAATTACTTTGAGAATTGCCTAATTTGCTAAAGCAAGAAGGTTTTGGAAAGTGCAAGACCATCTTTGCATTTATGTAAAGTTAATATTTAATTTTTGCTGGGTTCTTATTCTAATTTTTCTCTTGCACAGTTCTACTACATTCTTGTTAATTTACTTATCTAAAAGTATTAAAAATTCTTTAAGCCCTTAAAGATATAGCAAGACATTAACATTTTCCAAGTACATTGGCAGAAGACTATGACTTGAAGCCAAGATTCTTTTTAAGTACTGCTGTCTTCCCATTCATAGCTCTCACCTTATCATTCATGACTAAAAAGGCTATTGTCATGATTGCAGCAGTGCCAAGCCATAATGTATGATTTATTATGTACAGCAGGTGACTGGTAGTTAACATTTATCTCAAAAAAGAATGTAATTGTTTGTTTTTTCCTGAAGCTTTCTCTGGGAGGTGCATGTTTGTATCAGTGACAAGATGACAATTCATATTCTTACCAAAAGATCCAGTGAGTCATCTTATTAACTCTACTGAAATACATGCTTGGCAACAGTCCTACCACGGTAAGTCTATATTTTTTTATTCTCCCTGGAAATATAGTTTAGGAATTAGTGAGCTGTAGTATGCGTTCAAGAGTAAAAGCATTTTTCGTTGCAAAATGTAGTAAATTAATACAAATGGCAACAGTCAAAAGTAGATCAAATATTGTGCATTTCACTCCATTTTTTAACATTTATAACAATCTTTTAGAGCCGTGGATGTTATTTTGCAAAATGAAGTATTGTGAGAGCCTTGTTATTTACATGGGGTATTATGTTTTGTGCATTGCCTGTATTGATATGGAAAAAGATAAATAGCAAAACTTCATGTGTTACATGAAGGAGATTGCTTGGTATAATATCCTACGATATATGGGCCTGAAAAGTGGTTGCCATGTGATGGCTCCACAAGCATCTGAAACATGGTATTATTCTGAGACTTGGTGGAAAGATTTAGAGGGTAAAAAGAATGGGCTTTATGATGAATTATGTGTAGTACTGCACATATAAAGCCAGCTGCTTAATTATTAACTCCTCCGCATCCTACCCCTCTAAAAGCTACCAGTTCATCTGTTTTGATAGAGGCTAAAAATTATGCTAATATTTTATACTTTTGGGTTTGTTTCTCAAATCCACAGCTGTGCATGATGGAATATTATGGCTGCTTGCATATTTCCCAGTTCTGAAAACTGATGTGTGGTTAGTTTGTGACAATGCTGCTTTTTCTCCATGGCTTTGGTTTAGCTGGGGGAAAAGACATAACATGTTTTCTCTGACCATGACCCTGCTTTTCTTTGAATACTTACTTGTTCTGTCCTGAGGGATGGCATGTGCTAGGAGAGTCCAAACCATTTGTTTTCTGCTTAGATTTATTTGCACATATTGCAGGCAGTCTTTTCTCACAAAATAACATATGGGCTGGAGTTACTATTTGTTATTTCAAGGTAACTAGATGGTAATTGTACTGAAAACTCATGGCAAATCAAGCATTAGCTCAGGTTAACAGAGTAAATAAATAATTGCTGAACTGTATGCATTAAACCTTAGTTTAATGGGAAACATCTTGAAAACCAAGATCTTTCTAGCTGGTCAGAATATTTTCTTAATTCAGGTGCCCTTTGCCCCAACACTACTTAAACTTCTTTCTTGCACACTAGAACTGTGAGCAGAAATCCTTGGATACTTGCTATTTCTGCTTATAGGACCAGTGGTGGTTGCAGTTTACGAAGCTGATGAGCATGCAGAGTACAGCAAAACCTGGTTAACCGGTCACTGGGGCTAGGGGGACAGACATTACACATAAACTGGTGTAAGTGATCAGAAACTGATTTAAACCTGAACCTGAACAGTTTTTAAATCCATTTAAACCTCTTTGAAAATGGCTGAAACCAGTTTGAGGTAAACCTGGTTGAATGTAGTATCAGACTTAACTGATCTGGGTCAAACCGGTTTATGCAATCTCTGTCCCAGACCCCTTGGTGGTTTAAGATAAATCAGACTCTCCCAGCATGCTCTGTGTGCTGGGAGGGACTCTCTGCTCCACAGCAGGGCTGGCCCCTCCCCTCTGCTCCCTGGCTGCAGCTCTGGCAGAGACTTGCAGGCACAGAGCATCTGCCTGGCTTCTCCCTTCTAAGCAGGGATTATTCTCCCCTCCCCTCTGCTTTAATGCAGACACCTCAGCATAAGCTAGCAGACCACACGCTGATTATGGTCTGTGCTATGGGGCAGACAGGCTTTTTGGAACTAATCAACAGGTAGCTTAATGTCCTTCCTTGGAAGAGCTGTTTAAGAAGAGCCCCATTAGTTAATGGAGAGAGGTTCTGTTTTCTTAATGAGTTGATAAACAGTGAGTTAGGAGTGATAAACATTTCCTGCTGGGAAGCTCAGGAGGGGTGAGCAATAGTCAGAGTGTCCTGCCCAGGCTAGCCTCACCCCCTTAGCTCTGCCCTATGGAAGCAAAGGGAGGGCTGCCATAGAGCCCCCACCCCCTCCAGCTTCTAGCCTGAGCCACTGCAGGCATGTGCCTGCATT